TCTATCTATCTATCTATCTATCTATCTATCTATCTATCTATCTATCTTTCTGTCTGTGTCTGTCTGTCTTTCTGTCTTTTATCAATCATCTATCCATCTGTCATCTATCTATCTATCTATCTATCTATCTATCTATCTATCTATCTATCTATCTATCTATCTGAGGTGTGTGTGCGCGCGCGCACCAGCTGTGTTGAATAAATAGAGGTCAGAGGGCAAATTTCAGAAGTCAGTTCTTTCCTTCTACTGTGTGTCGAGGGCACAGAACTCTGATCCTTAGTCTTGGCAGCAAGCTCCTCTCCTCACCCAATCATCTTGCCATCATCCCCTTCTGAGCAGGGCAGAGTTGGGAGGAACCTTAGGAAATATTTTTGTCCCTTGTCTATTTGTGAATGGGGAGGTTGAGGATGTCATTATCACATCGCAGGAGAGGGACATGGAGCAGATGAGGTCCCTGACCCCAGGTGTCCTGAGCCTTACTGCCCATGTCCCTGGCTCCTCAGACTTGCTCACACCTCTGAACAGTTAGCTTCGCTTTATCCTTCAGTGGAGACCACGTGCGCCTGCAATATGGAGCCCTTTCCAACACAATCATCTTTTTGCAGGGTTTTTCCCTTTATTCAGGGTTTCGGGGAGATGTGAAGGTGGGTGGTGGTGCTGGTGGGGGTGGGGACATCGAGGAGGTGGGCACAGCTTTTCGTTTTCATAGCTGGGCAGAGCTGAGGGTGACGCCACAGGCACGGCAGGACACAGGTCTTATTTCATTTTAAATAATTCTCTGAAGCTGTATAAACTTTACACCTGAAAAAGAAAGGCTTCTCTTTGAGTAAACACTCACACCATCCACCAGCCTGTGTTCACTGCCCAGGAATCAGCCTCACCCACCACGGTGCCCGGAAACTCCCACCATATCCGCAAACCTCATATTTTTCTGTGACCCTCAGAAGCCTTCATCTTCCAGGTGCCTATCAGGGGAGGCAGCGTCCAATGACAGGTTTGTGTAAATACGGGATGCGTCTTCCTAAGTGCCAAAGCCACGCCACGGTGGAAACACTGGAAAAGAGAAAGCCAAGAGAAAGGCAGGTGGGCATACAGTTCCACAGGGATGTTTTGTCTGGCGGCTCCTTGTGAGGCGAGACTCGTCGGAAGAAGTTCCTGGGACTAGCTGACCCTCTGTTGCAGGGCCCAGCGGGCAGAGTCTTCTGGGGAGAAGTCCAGTCCCAAACTTTCAGTCCTGCGGTTTATGCTGTCACTGACATAGCTCTGTCCGAAGGTGCCACCCTCACCAGCAGGAATGCCCCGAAGGGAGGAGAGCTGGCTCAGTGGGCTAGAGCTGGCTTGCTGCACAGCCGTAAGGCCTGAGCTTGGTAGTGCTGGTCGCCCCAGGGCTGCGAGTGGGTGGAGACAAGACCATCCTTGGGGCTTGCTAGTCTAGCTCCAGATTTGCAAGAGGCCTTGTCTCAAAGTCGTAAGGTAGACAGGGATGGGACAGGGCACCTGGTGTTCCCATCTGCCTTCTGTGCACATGTAGGCACATCTAGTCACACACATGTGAACATACCCACATGCGCACACATGTGACCAAACATGCACATACATACACGCAAACACACATGCTTGTGCACACACATGTGAACATACATGCATGCACAAATACATACGTGTGCACGCACACACACACACACAGACAACTGCACTCATGAGTTTTTCCTTTCCACACACAGCATCCTTGAATTTGATCCTATTGTGTGTCCTTGAGGAAGATGCCGGGAAGGTTGCTAGCTTCAAGCCATCCCAGGCAACCTAGTAACACTGTCACCAGGCGTGCGAGTGAACAAAGCACTCATACACGGAAAATAAATAAATAACCTAAAATATTAAAAATGAAAAAGCTGTTGCAAAAAAAAAAGACCAAAAACACAACTTTTAAAGATAAGATTTGATTTTATTTATTTAGTTTTGGGTTTCTCTGTGTAGCCCTGGCTGCCCTGGAACTCACTCTGTAGACCAGGCTGGCCTCGGGATCTGCCTGCCTCCACCTCCTGAGTGCTGGGATTCCAAGCTTGTGTCACCACAATAAACCAAAGGGGTGTGTGTGTGTGTGTGTGTGTTTGTCTGTCTGTGCGTGTGCACATGTGTGTGTGAACACCCGTGCGCACGAGAGTGCACACGATTTAGAATTTGAAAAGTGTGTTTTTTCAAATGTTCCATGTATGGGTATTTTTGCTCGCATGTTTGTCTGTGTACCAGATGCATGCAGTGATGATGGATGCTTGATGTGATTATCAGAGCTCCAGGTACTAAGGTTGTGAATGGTTGTACGTTGCCATTTGGCTGCTGGGAGCTGAATCTCAGTCCTCTGGAGAACTCTTAACCATCAAGCCATCTCTCCAGCCTGTTTTTTTTTTAATATTTAAATTACACTTTTTATTATCCATTCATTCATTCATTCATTCATTCATTCATTCATTCGTGTGTGTATTTGTATATCTGTATATGTATGTCTGTATGCGTTTGTGTCTGTGCATGTGTGCCTGTGTGTACATCTGTGTGTGTGTCTGTCTGTGTATCTGTGTATGTGCCTGTGTGTGTGTACAAGTGTGTGTCTTCATGTGCATGTATCTGTGTCTGTGTGTTTGTGTGTGTCTGTGTGTAGGCATGTGCCTGCGTGCTGAGGCATGCACATGGAGAGCAGAGGAAGGCTGGGAAGAGTCTCTTCTCTCCCAGGGATGGGACTCAGGCCTCCCGGCATGGTGGCAAAGACCTTGACCCACTGAGCCATTGCTGGCCTTCAACAGTCTGACTCTGTGACAACGCTCATCGGTTCACGGAAACAGTCTGCCAGTTGGTGCTCATGGTAGCCTGCTGGAGGTTCTATATCATCATCACAGAGTGATGGTGTCCACAGCATCTTCTGTTACAAAATAGAAGTTTTAAGTAGAAAACTTCCCCAGACAGGCACAATGATGAGTGCCTGTGACCCCAGCACTCTGAAGGCAGAGGCAGGTGGATCTTTGTAAGTTCCAGGGAAGCCTGGTCTACAGAGTGAGTTCCAGGACAGCCAGGGCTATATAAAGAGATCCTATCTCAAAAAATAAAAAGAAAAAAAAACCCACCAAGGCTACACAAAGAAACCCTGTCTCGAAAAGCAAACAACAAACAAACAAAACAAAAAACCCATCAAACAACAAAAACAAAACAAAGCTCCACTTGATTTACATTTTTAGTTTCACTGCTTATTCATTTGGGCATTTTGAACTCACAGTCCTTCTGTCTCAGGCTCCCCACTGTTGCAGCCACACGTCTATTCCACCAGGTTAAACTTATAATAGTTTATCACGAATCTCAAAATAAACAGTAAAGAAGAAATCAAAGCTTCCTAGGACAAAGAACCCCTGTCCATCTGACTCCGTCCATACATGCTGCATATGGGTATCCGATTATCACGCTGAACGTCTAAATCTATAATTATGTCAATTAAAGTTATAGGCACATGTATGACCGCAATGAATTCTATATATGTGTGTATACATACACACAGATGTGTATATAACCAGACCCCAACTCTATAAAAATATGCACTGAAGGAAGTTTCAAAAAAATTAAAAACCACATATAAAACGGGGAATGTGGCATTCTACTGACTGGAAGGTTTTGATGGCAGGAGACCAGATTTCCTTTCTAACGCTACAGGGTACATCTTAGAATTAGATGGCACACATGGAGTTTTTATCCCATTCTGTCCCCGAGTAATGGTGAGGTGGGGAAGCAGGGGTGGCCGCCCAACAGGTAGGCGTAAGAAGCAGGCTTGGTGTGTGGGTGGTTCTCCACAGTTTAAGAGTTCCTAGTTCCTGAGTTGTAATTTTGCAGGTGTGAGAAGTGGTGGTGGGGGGTCGAGGCAGGAGATTTGCTCCTGTTTTTGTGACTGCAGTGGGCAATGCAGCCTCCGTTAATGACAGTCCTGGCCCGGTGCTTGCACAAGCAAGTGGGGAGTAACCTCACTTGGGTGGAGCCAACGCTTCCGAAAATAAGTTTCATAAAACGGAACTAACTAAAGACTTAAAACGTTATTCAAGAGGCCATAGAGAGTTATTCTTACCTGTCCACGGAGAGCAGGTGGGTGGCAATGATTACTAAAACTCCCCTTCCCTAGAACACTCCGGACGCTCTCTCATGGGGCTATGGAAACAGTGGAGACAGCCTTCTTTTCATTTAGCTGCCGACTTCTTTAAAATTTTGCAATTTATTTATTTACTTACTTTTTTTTTTTTTTTTTTTTTTGAGACAAGGTTTCTCTGTGTAGCCGTGGCTGTCCTGGGCTTGCTTTATGGAACAGGCTGTCCTCGAACACACAGAGATCCGCCTGCCTCTGCCTCCCAGAGTGCTGGAATTACAGGTGTGCACCACCACACCCGGCTCCTTTTAAAATATTTTGCTCGCCAGTCAGAAAAAAGTAAAAATACAAAGTTAGAAATACACTGAGGGCAGGGTTCAGCTAAGAGCTCTGTCTAACGTGTTAGACTCTGGGATCCATCCCCGGCACTGTCACAGATGTGAGAGTGAGAGAGAGACAGAGACAGAGACACAGAGACACAGACAGAGACAGAAAGACAGAGAGAAAGAAGGTTGAGAACCACTGCTTTAAGAGAAAACTTGGCAGTGTGTCTAGACAGGAGAGAAACAGACACAGAAAAACAGATAGAGACAGAGAGAGGGAGAGACACATACACAGAGAGACAGACAGACAGACAGAGAGAGGTAAGTCCAAGTGTTATCTTGCAGCCAGGCAACACAGAGGTTCTCAACCTTTGGGCCACCACCTCTTGGAAGGGTATCGAGTGGCCTTTTCACAGGGGTTGTCTAAGACCATCAGAAAACACAAAGGTTTACCTTACAGTTCATAACAGTGGCAAAATCATAGTTATGAAGTAGTAACAAAAGTAATTTATGATTGAGGGGTCACCACAACATAAAGACCTGTACTAAAGGGCTGCAGCGTAGAAAGATTGAGATCCACTAGTCTAAACAGAAAATCTGCCAGTGTGTCTAGACAGGAGAAACAGTGCAAGTGTCTCTGGGGTGGCCCTCAGAGTCACGAAGACAATGAAACAATACTCATCTTTCAAGGAAACCAAACCCTCACCCACGAGCCAATGGCTAGCTGGTCCTCTTGCTGTGTGATGGACGGCATGTAGGTGGCTGAATCTTTCTGAATGCATCATCTTCACAGAGCAGTGAGAGCCTCTGTGCATTGTGGAGTTGCTCAAGGAGTAACTGACAGATGTACGTGAGCTCTGGGCTGTGGCTTCCGATACAGCTGGGTGAAAGATTGACCAGCTTATGCTGAGCACTTCCTGTTAGCTGCGTCATTCATTAACTTAGTGAACCCTCTCAACAGCCCTTGGTGGAGTTCTGAAGCTTTCACCCCGTGATGTAGAAGAAAAAGCAAAAGTTCACAGGAGGATCAAGGATCAGTTTGTTCCACACCCATCTTAAATAAATGAGCTGAGTGTGCCGGGCATGGTGGCACATGCTTTTAATCTCAGCACTTGGCAGGCGGAGGCAGGTGGATCTCTGTGAGTTTGAAGCCAGCCTGCTCTACAACGGGGGTTCCAGGGTCACAAAGCCAGAACTCACACACAACTTTCCGTGTGATTTTTTTTTTTTAAGAAGATGCAGTGCAGACCACCAACTAAACTCCACTATTTACTTGGGGTCAGTTATGATGACATACATCTAGCTGTCACACTCTTAAAGGCCCAGGTCTTTCCTTTCTTGGGGTTTGAATGGCAGGTTTCCTGCAGCTGCTCAGTGGGGTAGGGGAGCAACTTTGGGGGGGGTTAGGAGGTGGCAGGAGAGCAGACACTGAGTGAAATAGTCACAGCAGAACAGCTTTCCCCAGCTATCAAGACACACAGCTTCTCGTTTCTCTACTCTTCTATCACTTTCTCCCAACCTGTAAAAACTTAATTCAGGACAAGCCACCTGAGGTTGCCGGTGTTTGGATATATTTTACCTACAGAGGTAGCAAATTTGCACAGTTTGGTTTAGCCTGTAGACCATAGCCTTTCTATAAATCTTTTTTTCAAAAGGAAGGACTTTCCTCCAAGATCATTTCTAGTTCCAGTTGCTGGAAGTCAAGATGCTGGTTGCATCACACAGGGTCTCATGTAGCCCAGGCTAGCCTTGGACTCCATACATAGTCAACAATGACCTTAAACTCCTGATCCTCCAACTCCTGAGTGGAATGTGTGTGTGTGTGTGTGTGTGTGTGTGTGTGTGTGTGTGTAGAGAGAGACAGAGAGACACACAGAGAGGATGAATTCATGCCACAGTGCTATGTGGAAGTCAGAGGACAACTCCAGTGTATGTCCTCACCTTCCCCTGTCTGAGACAGGGTTGTTTGCTCTTGCCTGCTGTGAATGCTACACTAGCTGGCCCAGAAGCTTCTAGGGTCTCTCCTGTCTCTGTATCCCATATCGAAGCAGGAGTTTAGAGTTTACAGGCTGGGACGGTCACCCTAACCTAGAAAACCACCTCGGAACGGCAGAATGCCCGAGGTTTTCAGACAGCGTGATAAGGCGCCCAGAATGCCTCTGTCAGCCATGGATTATGTAATTCTGGAATGATTGATCTGGTTTGGAGCGGGGCGGGTGTGTTCACAATCGACAAGTAGGTAAAAATGCTGTGAACAGGGAGAGACAGTAAATGACAAGAGCGATGATGGATAGCTGGGTAAATCTGGAAGACGGGAGTAGATGGGAGTCAGCCACGGGGCCCTGAGCCCTGACAAGTTGCTCTGGCACGAGGCCAACATCAGATGCCTGCCGTACCTGACTTTCAGGACTTCCCTGCCCTTTGTGGTATCCGGCTGAACCCAGTCACAGCTACTGGAGCCTTCAGGCAGATCTGCCAAGGTTCTGTCACCTTGTGGTTTCCTGGTGGCAAAAAGGGACATGCCTGAGAAAATTAAATTCCTTCAACGGAGATGAAAAGAGAAACACAGGGTGTCAGCAGAGTTGCTGAGTGTCAAATCCATATGTCACTTTCCTGGGGCCTGGGCTAGCATGAGAGCTGACTGTGAAAAGACACATGAATGAGCTGGGCAGTGGTGACACACACCTTTAGCCCCAGCACTCCGGAGGCAGAGGCAGGAAGATCTCTGAGTTCAAGGCCAGCCTGGAGTTCCAGGATAGCCAGGGCTATACAGAGAAACCCTGTGTTCACCCCAACTTACACACACGTGGAGCCCAGGGAAATGGCTCAGTAGGTAAAGGCACCTACTGCCGAGCCTGATGACCCTAGTTCAGTGTCCTGGGCCTCTCTGTGGAAAGAATCAATTCTCTAAAATTGTCCTTTGGCCTCTGTGTGGGCGTGGTGGCACAGGGACATACAGTCACACAACTTTTAGTAAACAAATATAACACAAATACGTACACTCACGTTGCATTCATGTGCCCAGGTGAGGAGGGTCTGCTCAGCTGGCCCTGACTGCATGGTGTTCGAGGACAGAACCACACGGTGACGCTTATGAGTGCAGAGGGACTTCTCCTCTCTGTTTTAATGTCCTCGCATGCTCACGGGATGGCGATGTAGCCCCAAGGCATGTGATGACACTGTGGTCAGCGATAGGTGGATCAGCATATCCCTGAAGTTACGGTGGAGGCAACTGTCTTACAAGGGAGCTAGAAGGAGGAGAGGGCGAATTGGGCTCCTGGCTCCTGAAGACCTCAGCTTGTTCCAGCACAGGGGGTGGTGAGTGGGATCGTACCCCAAGGCAGCCGTTGGCCCAGGAGGCAGAGAGAGGGGCCAGTGAGAACCTACAGCATATTCATTCCCCCCCCACCCTCAATTCTATCCATGTTCCAGGCCATGGGGTGGTACCAACTTGTTTTGTTTTGTTTCAAGACAGGGTTTCTCTGGGTAGCCCTGGCTATCTATCTCTGTAGATCAGGCTGGCCTCCAACTCCACCTGCCTCTGCCTCCTGAGTGCTGGGATCAAAGGTGTTCACCACTACAGCCGGCCCTCTATGGATTGTTTTTCTTTTAAGATTTATTTATTTATTTATTTTTAAAGACTTATTTATTTATTATTTATACAGTACTCTTCCTGCATGTAGGCCTACACACCAGAAGCACGCTCCAGGTCTCTTTACAGATGGTTATGAGCCACCATATGGTTGCTGGGAATTGAACTCAGGACCTTTGGAAGAACAGCCAGCGCTCTTAACCTCTGAGCCATCTCTCCAGCCCCCAAGATTTATTTATTTTTTATTTCATGTGCATAGGTGTTTCACCTGCATATATGCCAGTACGGCACATGTGTGCCCGATGTTCACACTGGCCAGGAGAGGTCACAGGTACTGGAGCTGGAGTTAGCCACCATGTAGGTGCTGAGAACCGAACCCAGATCCTCTGAAAGAGCAGGCGAGTGCTCTTAAACGCTGAGCTGGCTCTCCAGCCTCCTCTTCTGTTTCTGCTTCAAGCTTCTGCCCTGACTTGTGGGCTGTGACCCCGTGAGCTAAAATGAATTCTCTCCTCCCAGAGGTTGTTTTTGTCGCGGTGTTTATCACGCTGATAGAAGGCAGACGACAGTACAGCCACAATAAGGGCGAGTCTTTCTCCTTGCTCAGCTAATCCTTTCTGTCCTCACAGGCATTCTGGATATGGGTCTTGTATCGTCTCCTAGGTGACTCTTAACTCCTGTCCGGCTGTCCATGAAGGTTCTCCACCACAGGAGCTGAGACATGACTAAGGACGTCACAGCTGCCACAGAGCAAAACTCCTGCTATGTTGATGCTGCTACAGCTGGGCCCTGTGCTGTGGACTGATTCACAAAGGCACAAGAAAACAGTGTAGAGGCCTCCTCATGTCAGCAAGCGGGTTGTATACTTTGTTACTGGTTTTGAGACAGGGTCTCCCTATGTACCCTAAGCTATCCTGGAGAATGCAATCCCCCTGCCTTAGCTTCCTGCATGCTGGGATTCTAGGCATGCACCACCAGGCCCCACTTACTAGACTTTACTTATGTATTCATTTATTTACTATATTTATTCGTGTGTTTGTATGTGTGTACATGTGGGTGACCCATGTGCCATGGCACACATGTGGAGGTCAGAGAACCTCTCACCTTTAAGTAATCGGCTCATTCCTTCCACTATGTAGGCCCAGGAGTTGCCAGGCCTGGTGGCAAGTACCCTCTACTACTGGGCCATTTTACTGGCTCTCTGTTTTATACTTTTTTTTTTTTTTTTTGAGACAAGATTTCTCTGTGTAGCCTTGGCTGTCCTAGGCACACTTGGTAGACCAGGCTGGCCTTGAACTCAGAGATCTGCCTGCCTCTGTTTCCGTGAGTGCTTGGACTAAAGGCATGCACCACCCACGCCTGGCTTCTGTTTTATACTTTTAATCATTACTGTGTTTCAGTTATTTCAAGGAAGGAAGGATTTTGCTCACATTTTAAAATTATATTTGAGACTCGAGAGATGGCCCAGCAGTTGCGAGCAATGGCTGCTCTTCCAGAGGACCTGGGTTCTATTCCCAGCACCCACACAGTGGCTCATGACTACCTGTAACTCTCTCTTTGGGGGATCCAGCACCCTCTTCTGGCCTGCATGCACACTACACTAACATGCACACACCCACGCAGACACGCACATAATTAAAAATAAAATTTAGGAGAGAAAAAACAAAACGTAGGTAGCTAGGATTTCTGCTTAGATTTCCCTCCTTTGGCACACCACTTCCTCAGCACATGCCCGTTCTTTTCCTGGGTTTTCTCTCTGGTCCTCCTTCCACTTCCTTCTTCCAAAGGATGTCCAAAGAGGCAAGCCTCAAGGAATGTGCAGAGGTGCAGCACAATGAAGATGCTCCCGTGACAGAATAGGGGTGCTCCCTGCACCATAAATCACGTAGGGCCAGCCTCGTGAGAAGTGGAGGTAGGCATGGTGGTGCACACCTATAATCCCGGCACTTGGAGGCACAGGCAGGAGAATCTCTAAGAGTTCAAGGCCAGCCTGGTCTACAGAGCAAGTTCCAGGACAGCCAGGGCTGCATAATGAGACCCTGCCTCATTAAAAAACAAAACAAAACAAAACATATATATCTTATGTACATGTCTGAAAATGACACACTGAAAGCCATTATTTTAAGCAATTGCTATTCACTAAATAAACTGCATTTATCTAAAGCCTGTGGAAGCAGCTCATGGTCCAGAAAGAAACTCACTTGAATTTAGTACAGACAAAAATATAAAAACTAGGGTCATGTGATCACTTACAAAAAGCTGCTTTGGAGTCAGCTAAG